TTTTTAGCCTATGAATCACACACACACACACACACACACACACACACACACACACACATGCACTCTCTTTTTCTCTCCACACACACACATACACACACATACACACTCTCTCTCTCTCTCTCTCTCTCTCTCTCTCTGTGTGTCTTTGTCTCATAATACAATGTAAAGAGTACTTACCCTCGTCCAATTTTACATATAATATCAAACACTTCATCTGGCTGCCTGGCCAGACTCTCATCACTCAGCTTGGTTAAAGTGCTGCAATAACAAAGGAAGAAATAACAATACAGAATAATAAACATACTAGTAGGTAGAAATATGTGATATAACAAAATAGAATACAGATCTATTCAATATATGAAATGACCATCATTTAACCTTTTCAACAAAAACAAATAAGAACCAGAGAGCATGCAGAGAGCACAGAATTGTGCTAAGGCAAACTGTGAATGAGAATTAGATAAATAACAATTTTTAGGAATAATAAAGACACTCAAATTGGTGATATCGTTGGATGAGGCAACTAAGGCTTGAAAAGCAACTGCCAAAAAGGAAGGAAATCAGTTTGTGAAGTATCAGACCATCACATCTGCTGTAAAGAGATGTATTTAAGGCATCTGAATGTCAATTTACTTCCGAATTAAGTGCAGAGAAAGCAATTTGGTCAATTAGCCAATGCTAGCAATTCTGCTATGCTCAATTGTTTTGGTACACTGTAATGTATGTCACCAAACAAGCCTTATTTGTGACAAGTATATTTGGTGTAAAACTAGTAACAAACTAGGATATTTTTTAAGTTACCGGTCTGGTCAAACAAATGGAAATTCTAAGGTTTTTTAGAATTTTTTCATAATGTTTAGATATTATCTTAAGAGTTTTCAGTTTTCATTTGGAGTTATAGTTGTTTATAAATGGATTTAGTCATCAAAAGAGCTATGTTCCTGCATTAAATTTGTTTTATCTTTCTTTGTCTGACTTTGCAAGTAAAAAAAATTAGTTGTTTAAGATGAAGTATGCCAACTTTTTTTTCATGAATAAACAAGGTAGTGGTAAATTTACATACAATAAGAGTTCTAAAATTTAAAAATAATTTTTCTTGTGTAAAGCATTCTTTTTGATGCATCTTACAACACTTCTCTTTTACTAATTCTTCTTTACTTTCACTTTGTTTGAAAGCCATGACATTTGACATATTTTTGCACTTTCCTTGCATCTCAATATTTACATAGTAAACACGCAGTCTAAGTGTTCTAATGCTTAAAAACAAATAGGTCATCTGAATACAGAGTTTATATATAATCAGGTTTGAATTTTAGTGAAGATCAGTTGTACAAGTCTTTTTACCAGAAATTTTATGCCTATTCAAATACAACGAAAATTGGATAAGAAAAATTCTGCAAAGACAAGAATGGATTTAGAAAAACATTGGTTATCAAATCATTGGTTGGTGGATGTGTGTGTTGGGGGGGGGGGGGGGGGGGCTGC